TTTCAAATTATATAAAAATAAACTCACAGCAAAGTATTTACATATTTACACAAATGTGAAGTCCCTTATCTATTTATATAAATTTATAAATGTCTCGTAACTCAAGTACCTTTTTAGGTACTTTTAAAACTTCCTATCCAGATTACCCTCAGTTTCATAATATATCTAATCGTTTTAAAATAAAATTTTATCTATTCTGATCAACTGTGTATTAGAATTTAATACCAATGAAAAACAATATTGCATGTCTAGAAAATATAGATGCGGTGACTAATATGCTTCAAAATATCACTCCAGTTGAAACAAGAAAAATTTGTAAATACTTATATCTGCAATATTCTCAAATTACCATTATTTACAATAAATGAAGAAATATTTATTTTCTCACTAAGTCCTTTCTATGAACTTGGTGTGTATTATTAAGGAATAAAGGTTAATTCTTGTTATTTATATTGTTATATTGTTCACATGGTCATCTCCTATATATAAATACTTTAATATTTCTTGCTCTTCTGAACTTTTCTTCATTATCCCGCCATATAGACGAAATTCATTTTCATTTAGGAAAAATCGTAAATAGAACCACAGCATAGAAATGTTAAAAAGTCAACAAAAATTATTTTTCTTGTTGTAGAATAAAATAAACGAGGAGTGCAGTAAAAGTGTAGATACAAAGTCGCAATCCATAGGCGTACTTTGCATTTATATTATTTACAAAAAATAAAAATAAACCTGACAAAATTGTTGTAAATGGGATTCATTTAACAACATGAACATTGTTTTTATGAATTCAAACCAAATCACTCTATTCTATGTTGTACATTAAGCGTGCAATATGAGGTTTAATCTACAACACTTACAGCAAATAAAACGTTGTCTTTGTGTTAATTTCGGTAGGTACCTATTTGCTTTAACGTTTGTCTACCACATCACATGAGTTTCAGAAGCTTTGTCAACTTCAGTAATTGTCGGTATTTGATTTAATATTCTGTGCCTCGACTGTTTTGAAGGCTATCTTTAGACTACTATTGTTTATTTCGTTTCCAACTTGCTTTTATCCACACATTTAATTAAACATTCACAAATACAGGGTGAAATTAAAATACATCAACATTAATTGAAACTGGTTCATTTATGAACTATATACAGGGTGTTTCATAATATATGCGCAAGACTTCAAGACGTGATAGCCCGTCCAAAAATATGAAAATACGTTTCTATTAACTTACCCTCTAAAATGCACCATTTTCGAGATACAGGGTGTTGAAATTGAAAAAAAAAAAAATTCTACGCCTCTGGAAAAAGTACGGTTTTGAGACGCCCATTTCAACCGCCAATGTTTTCTACACAAAAAAGGTACTCTTGGTCATACGCTCTAAAGTCGAACGTTTTCGAGAAAAATCAAATTTTGTTTCAAGTATGTATGATCATGTATTTCAACATTAAAATTTGATTTTTCTCAAAAACGGTCGACTTTAGAGCGTATGACCAAGAGTACCTTTTTTATGTAGAAAACATTGGCGGTTCAAATGGGTGTCTCAAAATCGTACTTTTTCCAGTGGCGTTTTCAATTTCAACACCCTGTATCTCAAAAATTGCGCATTTTAGAAGTTAATAGAAACGTTTTTCATATTTTTGGACGAGCTATGACGTCCTGAATTCATGCGCATATATTATGAAACACCCTGTATATACTTGATATTATAAATAAATACCTATATGAAATGTTACAAGACCCTTAGTATATTCCTTTGAAAACATGATTTCCAAATAATTTTGTAAAAACAAAAAAGTACCAGAAATCCGATGGAATTAAAAGTGATATTTTAAAAATTGTATCATCCTATATTATCACATATTTTTAATGTTTGTATGAAGAATGGTAAATGGCCATCATGTCTAAAAGAAACTGTCGTAATACCGATTTTTAAAAAAGGTGATGCAAGTAATGTAATAAATTATCGTCCAATATCTATTATACTGCATCGTATCCACGGTGTTATTTTTGTTTACTTTTAGAACTTTACAACTTTTTTAATTATATTATAACCTTACCAATTATTTTATTACAATTTTACATCCAAGCATTATCCTTGTTATTTGCCAGATTATGTAATTCAATAATATGAATGTGTTTATCTTATTTTTATTTAGAGGTGTGTATGTTTTTAATCAAGTGTTTAAGATATAGATTATAATCATGTAATATGTAATCATAACCTTAGTAATACTGCTGATAGTTATCTTGTATTCATAAATAATAAGAAAATCCCATTTTTATAATCATACTATCACGACATTAATAATACTAATTCAATGCAATTTTTTTTTTTCTAAATAATCTGTTTGGTGATGCTTTAAAGGTACAGGAAATAATGTTGTATATATCAGCGGTTGCATGCCATCTGAGCACGTCTCCGAGTGGTGGATAGGAAAACGATCAGGGTTTTTCTGATTAGTGGTAGACATAAGTAGAGTGAAAAAGCCTAAAAACCTCATATACCCAGATATTTCATGTTACTGAATTTATTATACTAAATAAGTGTAAAACATTTAAGGGGGTGATTCCTCATCGAAAAAAAGATAGGGTCTTTCATTTAAAGAAACTTCATTGGAGCATCCCTTGTTAAGATACAGCCCCTTAAAGGGGGTACATAAAATTTGTTTAATAATTTTTTACACAAGCACTAAACAAGTTACAATATTGAAATTAACATTTTCTACTACCAAAAAGACACTTAGCCAGTACAGTTCATCAAATTTCTAGAGGCTTTCGACGGCTAGACAGAGAAAGCACTACTGACAGGCATCCCGACGGATTTACGCAATGAAAGTACACTCTGCGCATCAAGTATTTCACTATTTCATTCAGACGTAAATGTCAGATGTAAATTTCGCTAAAACATTTCTTTTATTTTCGTTTGTGTTTTTTTGCTCATTACAGTTTAATAGAACCTAAGTATGGAGTTTAATAGCAAATTAAGAGGCCGCGTAATTAACAGTCAATCTCGCGAAAAAATAGCCAATGTTATAGAGTTTATGAGAAGAGAAGGAAACTTTAATTCACCTTCAATACCATTTAAAAATGTAAATGATCGTGTTGCTGCAGCCACAGGAGTATCTAAAAACACTGTCGTCCGCATTTCTGGAGAGAAAAAAAGAATCGATAACCGTGAGATATCGGAATTTTCATCACCAAGAAAAACCATTAAAAAACCAAAAACAGTTAATGATATAGATGAAGCTGCACAAGAATCAAATTTTATTTTTTTATTATTAGATAGCTATTTTTGTTTCTGAGTTGTGTTCATTTACAGGCTCAATTTTTTTCCGTTTCTCCTTTTTGATTTTATATGGGGTTTCAAGTTGTTTTTGACTTATTTCGACGTAAATCACAACAACACACTTTTTTAATAAAGCAAACAAGTGTTAAGAGGTATATGTACGTGTAAACTACAATTACAAAAAATTGATATGAAACCCATGAAACCACCAACAAAAATGTAAAGCTAGCTTCCGTACTAGAACATGGTGTCATTCGTCGAGATAATTTATCGTTTTGTTTAATAGATCAAGAAATGTAAATATTCCCGTTATTTTTTATAAAATTATAAGAGAAATAAATTTTTTTCTAAATAGTATAGTTTATTATTTTGTAGAAAAACAAAATTTCGAAAATTTTAGTAATGTTTCAGAAACAACCGTTATTAATAATAGGTACCATTTTCCTTAATAAGGTAGAAATAAAATATAAACTATTTCCACGATTTACAAAGGCCTACAAAAAAATTATAGGTATTTTCCTCTATCCTATAAAATTTATATTTTCTGACTCAATTTCAAAAGGTTGAAGGAATTTCAAAACACCTTTTATGGCATAATAATTATTTTCAATTCTACATACTATCTTTAGCTGCTTTTAAAAACGTTCTAAGAAAGTCCAATCAGACCAATTTAATCCCTAAACTATTCCACACTTTTAAAATTTAATTACCTAAAAATATTAAAAACTATTTAAAATAACTAGTTTAGCAGACTGTACAATAGCTATCTTAGTCACACGTAGCGCGTTCTCTGTCTGGGCGTCGAACACCTCTAGAAATTTGATGAACTGTAATTTATTTGGTTTACCCCATGGTTGTAAGGGAAAACGCAACCCATAAAATTTCGTTCCAACGTAACTTTTTGTCTTATTATTTGTTTACCATTTAACAAGGGATGCTCCAATGAAATTTCTTTATATGAAAGATCCTATCTTTTTTTACACTTTTTTAGTTATATTGCTTGTTACTGGTAATAATATTTAATTCATTGAAGAAAAAAGCTGTGAATTTATTACAGAAAAAAGGTATGTAAAAGGTTTTTTCAACGTTTATTGTTAGGAGTTTATAGTTTAACCACTTTTGTATTGCAGGAAAATCGTTTTCCACCATATTTTTCAGTTGTTCTTTCATGTGTCACCAGTATAGAAAATCGCCGTGTCATCTGCGAACCCCAAAATTCCACTCTTTAACCTTTGACCGAAAATAAATTATTTATGTACAAATTGAATAGGAGCGGACCAAAGATAGTGCCTTGGGGCATACCATATTTAATGGGCGTAACATTACTGTAGCTATTGGCTAATCCTTACGGTTTATATTCTTTCATTTAAATAGGTAGAAAATAAATTTAATAAAGTGCTTCTGATGCAAATATCTTCCAATGTTTGCAGGAGAATTTGATGGCTTACCAAATCAAAAAACACTTTACAAAAACTAGATATAATTGCAGTTATTTTAATCTTGGTAAATTTACATTCTTTTCTTCTTTTTGCAGAAACATAACCTCATCATTTATTAGCAGATGTGTAGTTATAACAAAAAATTAAACTAAATTAAAAAACTATTGAATATGTACTCGTCTAATGTATTCTGTTTCTATCTAGTAATTCATTAGAAAAACCAATATTTCTATGTCATGTTTTTGCTACTTTATTAATATTTTTTTACTTGTTTCAGGATTTGATAGCTTTACAAGTTGACAAGAACGAATAGTCGAGTTGAGCTAGAATGGAAGTTTTTGGTTTGAAGGTAAGCACACTTTTACTTAAACTATAAGTAGGTTTTCGTAATAAATTGACCAAAAATGCTTTTGGTCATTTTGTTTTCGTTATATCTAAGCGACCTGACAATGCTCATCTTCATTACTAATATTCATTTTTTGGTTAAACTAGTTTTAAATACATAAAATTTATCAAAATTTTCGTATTAAGTGATATAATGACATTCGAAAATGGTGATTCAAAGTGTCCAGTAACCTTTTTTTTTCGCATTATCATCCAGTTCATCTTCAGATCCATCTACCACACCACAAAGCTCTTGCAATGGCAATATGTCTTCCAATTAAAACATCTATTGCTCTACTTGAGTTATATACTGATTTCGAACAATTCAGGCTACTCCAGTTACCATGATAACGTCTATAGTCTATTTTTATGTATGAGAGAGTATTAAAATAATAAAGCGTTCGTAATCCATAGGCGTAACACTTCTTTTAGTAGACAGTTAAAATAAGTTATTCCTCGAGTATACACTTATATTTTCACCTAATTAACCTGCTTATAACTTCTAAACAGCTGAAGGTAAAAAAGTTCAATTTTTTCTAAAATGTTTTATTTTTCCATAAGGTATGTTAAGAACATTATGTCAAACGGGTTATGTAGGTATAAGAGTTTAAACTTTGACTTTTAAACAACGTTACGTTCATAAATAATAATTTTAATATAAAAACTACTTCTTACCTACAAATCCAAATCAGAATCGAAATCAGAAGATGAACTGTCGCAACCAATATTTACAATGAGTGGCTCGATCATTTCATCAGTAATATTGTCCAACTTCCACATTTTCTCTTCTTCTTTAATCGTATGATTTACTGCCTTTTCCCAGTTTTCAGGCTTCACATTATTCACAGCCTCCAAAAACAACTGTTTAACATCACTCATTTTAAAAGAATTATTTTTTCTTGAAACTTCTCCCTTTATATGTGCCCATATCAGTTCAATCGGGTTTACTTCGCAATGATATGGTGGTGATCTAACCACCGTCATCCCACGATTTTTTGCAATTTCATCAATTTCATATTTTTTGAATTTCTCTTTATGAAGGGAACACAAATGATACAGTTCTTTTTTCACAGAACCGGGATGGAGCTTAATATTCTTTGAATTTAGCCAATTCTGTAAATCTTTTTTTAACCACTTGGTTGTGGGCATTTTTTCTATAAGTCTCGAGTGATAACTTGCATTATCCATTACTATTATACAGTTCTGAGGAAGAAGATCTATAATTTGTTCGAACCACTCTTTAAAGACATCAGCATTCATGTCCTCATGGTAGTCATCGGTACGAGTAGATTCAAAAGTCAATAAACCACCTTTAACAAAACCGTTTGAACTACCGATGTGTACTATTATTAGTCTGCGCCCCTTTCCTGATGGTGGATTTAAACCAGTAGATACATTATTTAAAAAAGCCTGTCTTCGACTTGTAACAGTTATATCTTGCCAAAATTTATTTGGTTTATGTCCCTCGTTGATCCATGTTTCATCTAAATAAAATATATTTCTTCTTTGGTTTCTCATTTCTTTTATAGTCCTTAGGTAATTTCTTCTCCATACTACAATATCGCTTCTTTCTATTAAAATAGACTTTTTGGAATGCTTTTTCCATAGAAAACCTATTTCTTTTAAAAGTTTCCATAGTGTGTTTCGACTCATTTCAGGGTAATCCTTATCATCTCGAACCGTGGCAAGAACTTTGTCTACTGTCGGAAATTCTTTTCTAAAGAAGAACGCATGCACTTTCCTTCGAAGTCTTTCTTTCAAAAGATTTTCTAATTGAAATTTTGGTTTTCCTGGAGCTTTACGTGCTGTTTGAAACTCGCCACATTTCTCTTCTTTAACAACTCTGTAAATCGTAGATTTCCCAACACCAAGCGTACTACTAATTCCACTGTGCCATTAACACTTTTACATAAATGTTTGTCTGTAAATGATTTAAAACAATTAAATATTAATGTTTTTTCATTAACTGTTAAAGGACTGATTTATTGTCGTTTACGCGGCCCAACTTGGACCTCCTTACTAAATGGAGAACCTATAATCGCATTTTCGGTGAAATTTGTTGGGAAGGTATGTATCTACTTATAATTCGATTACTGTAAGAAATTCTTGGAATTAAAATAAAACAAAATTGGCAAATAGGAGTATTTATTGAAAATAATCTTAAGATACGGCTATGTAATCTTTAATACACAGTGCTTTTGGCCTGTCCAAACCTTTTTCTATTGTTCTGTACAGCTTATGTTTATAAAGGACCAATAAAAGACCCAAAACTTGTAATAGCTCAGGTACATTTATTACAATTTTAGGAAATATTTAGATTATTCTGTAAAAATATTTAAAATGACCGTACTAAGTTTTGCATTAGAAATACTGTTTTATTACTCTCTCATACATAAAAAATAGGCCTATAACAACTACCCAAATAAGTTGTGACGTACATACTCTTCTTTCTCGGTAATGGCCTTGTTTAGGAATGTTTTCTGTGAATCACTCTGTATATTTAAAAATTAAAATTTATAGATTTTGAGTTTATCGTAAATTGATCTTAATTACGATTACCAAATTTTGAACAGAATTAATAATAGTTTTTTAACTTTTTTTAACAAAGGTGAATAATTTTTCTTAAAGACTCCCCATTAATTATTGATATATTTCGTTTTGCAGCAGAACAGTTGTTGAAAGATAATTAGCGCTTTTTCTTATTATTATACTCGTGCAGTATATTAAAAGTTATCAAACTTTCTCATTTCATTTCAAAATTAGTGAATAGTTCAAAAGCAAAATAAATTCAAACTAGGTCCTTCACTATCTACTCATTCTTAGTGAAGAGATTTTAATAAAACTTGGCCATATCTGGTGCTGACACTTTCGCAATAAGCGACTACAATAAATTTTCGAGTTTTGACAGCTCTCAAAAAAAAAAAAAACTCTTTTGTCGATACGGCGGAATATTAGTAATGAAGCTTTTGCATTTCAGTGCTCTCGATTTATTTCCTAAATAAATGTTCTCGATTTTATGGGGCGGTTGTGTCGTTTTTTTTACGGTTATTTGTGACGATTTATAGTCAAGTTGTGTAAGCTGGCGGCAGGCATTTACATCTGCTGAAAAACGTTTTCGCGACGCTAAATTACTGAAAATTACATTTTCTTCAAGGAACTTAAAGCCGTTTTGAATTATAGATTGCATATAAGTAGAAGATATGTGTTTTAATAAATATATCATTAAAAAAACAAAAAGCAACAGTTTTTGACGCTTTCAAGGTCATGAGTCGAAGTTCGAATAATGACAGCTGTCAATTGCCATGTCATCTGCCAACTGTCAATCCAGTGTTGCAAACCTAACCTGAGAATTGATAGCTACGAAGTTGCCTAACCTTAACCTTACATGTCTAACGCCATTTGCTATTCGCACCATTTTTTATCCTGAGTTGCCTACCGTTGACTAACCTAGCAACAGCGGTGTCAACCTAATCTGCCATCTGCTACCTCAGGATGACGACAGGGGGGTAAAGGAGTGGAGACGTCACGCCATCTATCAATGGTGCGACTCGGCTCACGACACAGCTAAACGATCCAAGATGGCATCTATCGTATTCGAAATCCTGCGCAGTGGCTTGCGCCTTATTCAAACGGGAAAAATGTTATTTAGAAGAAGAAGGGAACGTTGAAGAGAATGCAGGAGCAAAGCTAAAAAGGCAACATAGTTGTCAACCTAACAGTCATAAATGTCAAGGAACAACTGTCATCTAACCTTATTACGTTCAACAGTAACATTACGTAGGATAAGGAGGAAAAAGAGGAGAAGGGGAAGAAAGAGAAGAGGGAGTAGGAGGAGAAGAAGGAGAAAGAGAAGAAAACTCCTGTAGAGTACAGTGTTGCCAATCTAGTGTAGTATGTGTGAAATCTTAAGAAAAATCTTAGAAACTCACGTAAATCTATACGCAAACCTCTAGAAAATCAAAGAAAAGCACAGAAAGTCATAGAAAATCTTAAGGAAAAATCTATAGAAAATCATAGAAAAACCATAGGATTTAAAATAAGAGCTTCTGCTTCAACAGTGTTCTATTTATATTGCTAGTACTATACATGATACAACCTCTACATGGTAAAAAATGTCAACTGATTCATGGAGGAGATGACGTATAAACAGGGTAGATGATAGACAAGGAAAGATGATAGACAAGGAAAGATGATAGACAAGGAAAGATGATAGACAAGGAAAGATGATAGACAAGGAAAGATGAATAGAAGACGTCGAAGAACACTTAGAAATCGTACACACATCAGTGTAGACCTAAGGTGAAAAAGAAACCACTGGAGAAGCTGAAGAAGAAGAGGAAGAATGAAACGTTAAGAGGGTGAAAGAAATCCATAGAAAAACATAAAATTTATTGATACGAGAAGCCAAAAAAGACCTAAACTTTGGAGAATCACTGAAAAATACTTAGAAATCATACAGAGACTTAAGATGATGAAGAAGAAGAAACGACTGCTGAATTCGAAGCAGAAGAGGAAAAGCGAAACGTTGAAAACTGAACAGATAGTCGAATATTCCTAGAAAATAATAGAAAATCATAGAAAATCATAGAAAATCATAGAAAATCATAGAAAATCATAGAAAATCATAGAAAAATCATAGAAAATCATAGAAAATCATAGAAAATCATAGAAAATCATAGAAAATCATAGAAAATCATAGAAAATCATAGAAAATCATAGAAAATCATAGAAAATCATAGAAAATCATAGAAAATCATAGAAAATCATAGAAAATCATAGAAAATCATAGAAAATCATAGAAAATCATAGAAAATCATAGAAAATCATAGAAAATCATAGAAAATCATAGAAAATCATAGAAAATCATAGAAAATCATAGAAAATCATAGAAAATCATAGAAAATCATAGAAAATCATAGAAAATCATAGAAAATCATAGAAAATCATAGAAAAATCATAGAAAAT